AAGAATGAAATCTTGCCATTTGCAACTACGTGGATGTAACTGGAGGGTATTATGCTAAGTGAAATTAGTCAGAGAAAGATAAATATATGACTTCGCTCATATGAGGACTTTAAGAGACAGAACAGAAGAACATAAGGGAAGGGAAACAAAAATAATATAAAAACAGGGAGGGGGACAAAACATAAGAGACTCATAAATATGGAGAACAGAGGTTTACTGGAGGGGGTGTGGGGGGGGATGGGCTAAATGGGTAAGGGGCATTAAGGAATCTACTCCTGAAATCACTGCTGCAGTATACGCTAATTTGGATGTAAATTTTAAAAAGTTAAAAAATAAAATCACTGTAGAGTTAGAAGATAAAGCCAAGGATAAAAAAGAGAGATTATCCCAACATCAGCTATGACCACATTATATTATTAATTACATAAAAATCACTAAAACTGTATAAAATATGTAACTTAAATAAAATATAAAGACACTTTAAACATATAAACATAAATAACACATAATACATTGATTATATAAAACATATAAAATATATATTATTAGTATGCAAAAATGTCACATATAGCATTTTATATAAATATCACATAAAATTATTAAAAATTAATAGTAATAACAGAATTCAGTATAGTTTAGCACTGTTCTAAATGAATAATATGTACTAACTTTTTAAATCTTCACAAAAACCTTATGAAATGGGTATTATCATCTTTTATCAATAGATAAAAGCTATACCAGCTAGAGGAAACAAGACTGCAGGGCAAATAACAACCACAAAAGATGCTATTCATTTGCATGCAGAGTAATAGCTTCTATCATGATATTAAAATCTGTTCCTGGGCTTGCCAACAACAACTGTAAGAACAAAAGATTTCAATCCATATATATGTGGGGTTTTTTTGGTTTTTCTTTTTTTTTGTTTTTTTTAAGGGGACATAAGCTTGAGAACAGAAGAAAGAAGACCATTTTAGAGGAAACAAGTTCTCTCAGGTGCCAGGAGAAACTGGACTTTGTGCTCAAAAGCACAAATTGGTTAGGTGAACATGATCTTGAAATATTAACTGATTTAAAAATGGGAGATTAGGTAGAACAAAAATGGAAAAGAATAAAAATTGGTTTTTTTTCTTCTGTCAAATATTACTTCTATGTTATGTACATTTTCATCTGAATAAGATATGAAAAAATGCAGAGACAATTAGGCAGGATGAGACTGACGACAGTTTAGGGAAACAGTCTTATTAGAGATATTAAAACCCCATCTAACTCCAAACAGGTTTTAAGGTGATCATTCTAGGCTTGGTATTGATTTTGAGAATCACTGTTAAGAGTATAAAAAGATTACGTCTCAAATAAATCATGAAGATGGATGGCATTTACTGTTTACCATGAATGTGTGTGGTATTAAACTTCATATTTTCACACACATTTTCATTAAGTTTGCCTAACAACCTTTTAATATGATGGCCTCCACTCTGCAGAATAGCAAATTGTGGCTCTGACAAATTAAGCAACTTGCTCTAAGTCATTTAACTAGGTCACAAAGCAGGGCCAGGAAACAAAGTTGCAAATCCAAAATGTATTATGTCATTATGTTTCCATAGATAAGTGATTACCAAACAAAATGACATCAGGATCACCAGGCAGGCTTTTTAAATACAGGTTCCAAGGCCTCATCCAAATCTACTTAATCAGTAGAAAGCACTATTAATTTTTATAATCTATCTTCTGATAACACTACTCTACTCTCATCATTCTCTTTACTCCTCCAAACCAGTGTGTCAGTACTTTTGATAGAAATGCCTTGATAGCAGCAGTCATCTACATACTCATGAATCTTTTTCCACTGTCAAGAATTATGTAAGTCTGAATAGGGATCTGCATGTCCCAAACTCTATGTGTATATGGACATGGAGTTTTGATTCTTAACTTGTTCTTTCTATTATCCCCTTTTTCTTAAGGTAGCAAACCATTCAGAAGTTGTACCTCATAGACTAAGTCAAATGGCAATAGGCCAAACTAGGATGCCTGAATTCTTGGTCAGGGCTCTGGTTATAATTGCTGTATGAAAGTGGGTTTGAATAAATTAGAACTGAAAACCACTGTGACACTTAATCCTAGTCTTCCCTTTAGAATGTACTCTGAACATTCAATTTTAAAAGCCACTACAAAAAACATTAAACTTACGTCTCCAGAAACCAGAGCTATCACCTTCTTCAAACTTGTTATTTGAAAAACCTATACAAAATAGAAAATTAAACTTGCAAATTTCTGAAAACAATTACCTGTATCTCTGTGGTAAACAAACCAAAAGACAAAGGGCAAAAAACAGCAAAACAAGTGCTACTTGTTATGATGCCCCTTTAATACAGGATAAACTACACAGAACTATAAATATAAATACTGAATAAAAACTCACACAGGTTGGGGGGCACCTGGATGGCTCAGTTGGTTAGGCAACCGACTTTGGCTCAGGTCATGATCTCACAGTTTGTGAGTTCGAGCCCCACATCAGTCTCTGTGCTGACAGCCCAGAGCCTGGAGCCTACTTCAGATTCTGTCTCCCCCTCTCTCTACCCCTCCCCTGCTCATGCTCTGTGTCTCTCTGTCTCTCAATAATAAATAAATGTTAAAAAAAAAAAAAAATTTTTTTTTAAAACTCACATGGGTTGGGTAACAATTTCTGCCTTGTGTCAATTAACTAAGGTAAAATGTCAGCCAATGTTATAGCATCTCAGATGTCATATATTCTTCTATATTATATGGTCAAACTAGGGCTATATATCAACATAACACACTACATACTTTCTATTCAAAATATCAAATGTTTTAAAACCTTCAATCTCTTCATTTGCCAGAGGACAATATTACTCAATTATAATCCAATAATCAGTAATTTTTCCCATCTCAGTAATAAGGAAATTTTTCTAACATTTTTTATTTTCAGCAAGTTTTTTTTACATCTTTCATTTAACTCTACTTTCAGATTTCTCATATAATAAAAACCTGTACGTAGATTTACATGTCTCTGGAACATACAGATATGTCTCTAAAATTAATTTTAAAAGGATCTATCAGTAATATTTCATAAAATTTTTAAATGTTGAATCTTACTAAAATTATCTTTAGTGCAAAGATATTCATGGAATAATATACCTTAAAATTAAATGTCAATATAAGATGCCTGTCAATCAGTATTTAAGCAAAATTATAAAATATGTTTATATTAAATGATGGCTTCTGCAATACAGAGACTAATCACTTTGACAGGTATTAAATTTATATGCAGAATGTATATATAAAGTCACTTAATATCTCACGTACAAAATAATCTAACATCCCTTTTAACACAGAAATCTAATACACAATTATGATATAAAAGTAAGTACCCTATGGCTTCAATGTGTAATTAGATGAAAAGAGTTTTTCCTTGAAAAGATACATAATTTCCAAATAAAGATAATCTATACAGAAATAGCATATTCCATAAAACCTAAGTTTTCAGTTATTTAGTTCATGTCAGTATTTGCAATCTTTTAAGTTGGTTCAGAAAGGATTATAATCTATCTACTACCCTCCACAACTGACCTTTCCCAACATTCAACCCTCTTCAACTGTCTGGTTTCCAAAATGCTTGGTAAAGTCGTCCATCTTCACATTATCAGTCTTGATCTTAAGTTATGCTCCAGTTCTGATATACAGTTTTTAGTTTTTAAGAAAAAAAAATGTAACTTCAAAGCTACTACTGGTTCTTTGCTCAACTCAAATTTACCTTTTGAAGTATATAAGATGGATCTCTTGCTGGGGGCCACAGGGGAAGAGTCTTGAGTACAGGAAAAAAAAACTAGGGCTCACTCAAATTGTGATTATAAGATTATCGTCAGCAGTTTACCTCTGTTTCCAAAACTCTTTCCAACTCCAAAGCCACCCATTGTGGATGTATTCTCCCTTTTACTAGACTCGCCAGCATCTGAAAATTCAGACAGAGTTAAAACTCTTTAAAACACATAACTAACTGTGCCATCAAAGACTAGAAATTAAAGGACTCCTTGAGATTGCTTAAAAATAAAATCTTTTTTAAAAAAAAAAAGGAGGGAACCTTGCTGGGTCTCTTGACCTCAGAGTTGTAAATTCAAGTCCCATGTTGCATGTAAAAATTACTTAAAAATAAAGTCTTCAGGTGGTGCCTTGATTGTGCAGTTGGTTGAATGTCCCACTCTTGAACTTGGCTCAGGTCATGATCTCATGGTTTGTGGGTTTAAGCCCTGTGTGGGGCTTTGCGCTGATGGTGCCAAGCCTAATTGGGATTCTGTATCCCCTTTTCTCTGCCCCTCCCCTGCTTATGCTCTTTCTCTCTCTCTCAAAAAAAAAAAAAAAAAAAAAAAAAAAAAAAAAAGAAAACCTTTAAGTAAATTATTTAATTTTATTTTAAATAATTTTTATTTTTATTTTTTTAATGTTTACTTATTTTTGAGAGAGACACAGAATGCCAGCAGGGGAGGGGCAGAGAGGGAGGGAGACACAGAATCTGAAGCAGGCTCCAGGCTCTGAGCTGTCAGCACAGAGCCCGACGCGGAGCTCGAACTCACAGACTGTGAGACCATGACCTGAGCCAAAGTTGGATGCTTAACCAACTGAGCTATCCAGGTGTCCCTATTTTAAATGAATCTTTAGGGTAAAGGTACCTCCAAGGATAGGGAGAAACAAGTATAAGAACTTATAAAGATATAATATGCTTCAACTTTTTATAAAAAATTCGTAAGTTTTAATACTAAGGTAAAACCATAAATATACTACTGGTGAAATACAGCTTTCTATTAGTTGTTATTTCATGAATGACTTTTCCTGACTTTTAATGAGGAAATTCAACTGTGATTTTCTGTATATTGAAACCTCACCCTGTATAGAGCCAGCTACTTAAACTTATGCCCCTGTATGAAGGTTACATGCTACTGAACATGTTACATTCTTGTACGATTTTTTAATTATTTATTACTTATTTATTCTGTTAACATTTAAACTTCTCAATCTTTCCACTTTTAAAATTCAAATTAGGAAGGAACTAGGCAATAAAGAAATAAAAGCTGTGACTGCCACTCCCCTTATCACCTCTCCACTCTTCCAGCGTCTTTACTCATATTATCTTTGAACTTTATCTCCTACCACATAACACTGAGCTCTCAACATTTTATTTTATTTTATTTTTTTTTTTTTAATTTTTTTTTTCAACATTTATTTATTTTTGGGACAGAGAGAGACAGAGCATGAACGGGGGAGGGGCAGAGAGAGAGAGAGACACAGAATCGGAAACAGGCTCCAGGCTCTGAGCCATCAGCCCAGAACCTGACGCGGGGCTCGAACTCACGGACCGCGAGATCGTGACCTGGCTGAAGTTGGACGCTTAACCGACTGCGCCACCCAGGCGCCCCTCAACATTTTAATTCACACCAAACAATGTCCCATGTTCCACACTGTGAACTTCTAATACTTTGTACCTTCCTGTATACTTCAGCAAGGCATTCCCTGCTTTCCTATTTTTTCCTACCAAAATTCCTTTCACACTTCAAAACCCCAGTTCAAAAGCAACCTCATCTGAAGAAGTCTTCTTTCAGACTTCCCGTCATCATCAATCATTTCTCCACATTCCCACAGCACACTACCACTTTATTTCTTTCCATGTGTTTCTCTATCACTACATTAATCTTTCTGAGGGCAGAGGTGCTAAGGCAAGAAGCATGGTTATTTAGAACAAAACACTAGAACAAAAGACATCTGAAACAACATAAACTGCCACTTCACACTATCACTAGAAAAATTAAAGTGTTATCTTATGGTCTTCATAAATTGTGTCTTACCTATCTGTGTAATATCTTAATACAACTAAGTTAAAGGACCTGCAAAACTTCTAAAGCCACGTGCAAAACTGCGTAAGAGCAATTATCCATATTTTCATCAGATTCTAAAGATGTGTGTGATTCAAGAAGTTAAAGCTATTTATGTTATACTTTATAGAACATAAAAAGGGGATCAATGCTGTATTATAAGCAATTAAGAGACAATTTCAAAAACAAATTACTAGCTATGCAAGTTCTAAGAAAAAAATATCACAGAGGTTGAAACTAAAATAACGGGTTAACAATAACGAAAAGGAGTTATATTAATGGGTCTATGAATTCCCAAGATTGTATGTGGTACAATGGTAACTTTTTTAAGTATTAACATTCAACCAAGAGTTTTGATAAGTTTGTTTTTCAACCTAACCCATATGAAATTAACAACGTGTAGTAAAAACAGTCTAAGTGGTGTTTTTCTCATTTAAAAAGCTTTTATTCAGAGATACAAGCTTCCAGTTATGGAATGAGTAAGTCACACAGATGAAAAGTACAGCATAGGGAATATAATCAATGATACTGTTAATAGTGTTGTATGGTAACAGATGGTAGCTACATTTGTGGTGAGCATAGCACAACCCACACAGGTGATGAATTACTTCATTGTACACCTGAAACTAATTCAATATTTTAGGCCAACTATACTTCAATTAAAAAAAAAGAGAAAAAAAGTACATTCAATTAATGTAAAACTTTAACAAGATATATAAGTATACTTTCTGAACTTGAAAATTTAAAAATAGTTAATTCAAAACATTTCTGGCTTTGGTAAAAATAAAGTATTTAAACTTTTAAAAAGATTTTTTTCAATAATATTTTGAAATCTACATCAAAAAGTATCACCTCATCTATTCTAAAATGGGATTTAAAAACATCTACTCAAAAATAAAGTTTTAAAATAAATCCAATATTAAATATTTCTCTAAGTGTAATATTAAGATATTATCTCTAATGTTAGTAATAACTAACAAAACCCACACCTGAACCTCTTGGCAAGATTACATGATTTTTATTCATCAATGCTTCTTACTATGAAGGTTTTAAAAACAGAATATATGTGCATATTTAAGGAATAAATTGGGGCACCTAGGTGGCTCAGTTGGTTAAGCATCCAACTCTTGATTCTGGCTTGCGTGATAATCTCACAGTTCATGGGTTTGAGCCCCATACTGGGTTCTGTGCTGATGGCGCCAAGCCTGCTTGGGGTTCTCTCTCCCTCCTCTCTCTCTCTCTGCCCCTACCCTACTCATGCTCTCTCTCAAAATAAATAAACTTAATTTTTTTAAATAATTATTTCCAAATTATATCAAAATATAGATCCACATGTTAACTATGTTAACTGAATCCAAACAAGAAATTAAGTTTTCCAAATATCAAATGAAATGCCACACCTTTAGTTTCCAATGAATAAAAATCCTTACAAGAATTTTCAACATCTAATGAATTCAAGATTAAATGTTTTGTGTATTTAAAACTACCAATTAGCCCTTATTTATGGCATCTTGTAAAAGAAATAAATGGTCATAAAGATATTTAAATAAATTGGAGGTTCTCATATTTTATCACACTATACTAAAACATAAAGAATACTTTCAGCATTTTAATAACAATTCTAAAAATGAGCCATAGTAAGGTGTTCTGCTGTGTCATTATCAGATCACACGGTTGATCTAAAAATAACAATGAAAAGTTTCAACACTGGGAAAATAACCTCTTAATATTAATGACCTAAGAGAAATCCTTCTGTGCTGTCTTTCTTGAGAAATTTAAAAAAAAACAGGTTCTTCTCACCCTCATCTGTGAAGTTTTTACCAACATTCCTCCCATGCCAATTGTTGGAAATCAATAATCAACACATTAAGTAGCAGCTCTGTAAAGCAACTATCTTTAATCAATCTAACCAATCTATTTTTATCAATTGAACTATCTCCTACTATCCCAGAAAAGGAAAAAAAAAGCAAAAAGAACACTCATAGTTGAAAAAATGATAAACTCATTACCTCAAAGTCTACTCTGCAGAGAGTTATAACAGATTTAGCTTTGCGCTCAACAGCCATAATAGTTTCTATTCATTCTACCATTCAACAGTTGAGAAGTTTTAATGAAAGACAAAGATACTTACCTCTGTTTCCCAAACTCTTCCCAGAAGCAAATCCACTTCTCATGAAATGATCTCTTCTAGAAGGTCCATCATCCATTTCTAAAGCAATTAACATTTTGAAGCAAATCCAAATTAGCATCTGGTGGTACACAAATTTTAAGCCATTCCAATGTACCACCCACAGGACAAAGGAGAATTATATAAATCAATAAGAAAAACAGCCTAGTAGCCTATCTAAGGGAGTTTTCCAAAAGAAAAATAAATGGTAACTAAAGCTTACTCAACTAAACAGAATGGAAATCAAAGGAAGGAAATAGCTTTTTTCAACCACATGACTGAATGGAAAACAGTTTTAAGTTTGCTAATAACAAAACCAGTCAAAGACATAGGGAAACAAGAACAAATCGTATACTATAGTGAAGCTATAAATCAATCTTAATCCTAATTTTAAAAGAGTATACTTTTTGAAAGTATATTAACTTCTCCTCTGGATAAACAAACTGTCATATAGAAATTGAATCAATACTTAAATCTCTACATCATGCCTAAACAGTTTTACAGGTGAGCTCTACCAAATCTCAAAGAACAAATTATTTCAATTTTCTACAACCATTCCCGGAAATAGAGGAATTATTCCCCAACCCATTCTACCAAGTGAACATAATTTTGACATGACAAGGAAAACTCTCACAAGTAGATGCAATATCTCCAAAACAATTATTAGCAAAACGACCCCAAAGGAAACTGAACAGACAAAACATTATGACCAACTTGGGTTTTTCCCCATATGCAAGGGCATTTTAACATCACAATGTCTTCAAAAGGTAATTAACAACGTCAACATATTAAAAAGAAAAAACTACCTCCATAGGTCTATGATATAACTCAACACAATTTATGACTTAAAAACATATACTTAGCAATTTAAGGGATGTTCATGGCAGCTTTGTTCGTACCAGCAAAAAGGAAACAACTCATATGTGCATCAGTAAGAGAATAAAAATATGTGGCACAGTCACACAAGAGTATTACATATGTAAATATGTTCTATAATTTATTATACAGAATTATATATATTGTATATGTGTAGTGTATTCATGTAAGAGTATGATTATAAATGGACCAAAACAACTGTCAACATGGATAAAACTTAAAAAGAAAACTGAGTGAAAAATTCAAATTGCAGAAAAAGACTATATATAGTAAGTTACCATTTTTGTAAAACTCAAGCAATCTTAAATATAGTATACAGTGTACATATGTAATAAGTTTCTTTAAAAAAAAAAAAAAAAACAGGTGCCTGGTGGTTCCATCAGTTGAGGGTCTGACCCTTGCTTTCAGCTCAGGTCATGATCCCAGGATGGTGGGATTGAGCCCCATGTAGGGTTCCATGCTGAACATGGAGCCTGATGGAGATTCTTTCTCTCTCTACCACTGTCCCTCTCCCCCACTCATACTGTCTTCATGTTTAATTTTTCTTTAGTAATTTTAGGGATTACTGCTCTCACTTTCAGAAATTTAACTAAGTGCCATCACTGAATTTTATCCAGTCCAATCCCCAACAAAATACATAGGAAGAAAAACATCAGTACAGAAGTCCATAATATAAATAAATGATGAAGCATAGCTATTTTTCTATAGTGCTCTGAACCCTATCAAAATAAATCAAAAGAAATAAAAATAAACTCCATTTAAAATGAAATCAGATTAATGAAAGCAATTCCCACCCAGTGACCAAAGAATATATCTCATATATAGTCACATTTGGACCAGATCCAGGAAGGAGGAGCAAATTTTGAACTTAAAAAAACAACAACAACTCACATACTGAACCAAGCAAAAGTACCAACAACTATGGGACTTCAGTATGAGTTCTAGTCCTCTATGATCTTCCAACCTTCCTCTGAAATGATCTGCTTAATGCAAGGTGAAAAGGTTAAGGGAAGATGAGAAAGACTTTGTGGCAAAGAGTTCTAAAACAACTTCTCATTTTTTAGGGCTACCAGCTGTCCTAACTTCTAATCCCCTTCATTATCCTAAGTAGCTCAAAGACTAAACATTTATAAATCACCAATGTTGGAAGGAAAAAAAAAAAAAAAAGAGGTTAGAGTACAAGAGAGCCAAAGCATAAGAGACTCTTAAAAACTGAGAACAAACTGAGGGTTGATGGGGGGTGGGAGGGAGGGGAGGGTGGGTGATGGGTATTGAGGAGGGCACCTTTTGGGATGAGCACTGGGTGTTGTATGGAAACCAATTTGACAATAAACTTCATATATTGAAAAATAAATAAATAAATCACCAATGTTGAGTCTTCCATCTAGAGATCACGCAATTATAAAGGTAATGTGCACTGGGGATCTTGTTAAAGTGTAGATTCTGATGCAGTACTTTTGGTTGGAGCATTAGATTCTGTATTTTAAGAAGTTTGCAGGTAACATCAATGCTACTAGTCTGGTAACCACATTCGGAGTAACACGATTTTTATATCCACCAAAAGACAAACCAGAAAATATTCACAGCAGAAATATTCAAAACAGGAAATACTGTAAACTATCCACATGCCCATTAATACAGTTTACAGCACAGTTACAAAGTACAAAACATATATCCAAGAATAACTCACAACTACTTGTGACAACATGGAGAGAACCTTGAACACAAGAGAATATACAATTCCATTGTAAATGATTCCAATTTACAGGAAAAACTGATCTGTGCTGCCAGAAATCACTATAGCAGTTACTCCTGGTCAGAATGATGGTGCTTCGAAGGAAGACATAGAAGGATTTTAGAGCTCCACTAATGTTCTATTTTTTGATTTGGGTACTCAACACAGCAGTATGTTTAGTTTATTCAAATCCAGCAAGCTGTACATTTATGATATGAATCTTACTTTAAAATAGTGAATCTGTGTGTACACTGTGCTTCCACAAAAAAAAATTCTTTTTAAAAAAAGAACTTGGTCTACATAGATCTGAGGACAAAGGCAACTAACCTTGTAATTAGCAGGTAATTTCCATGTTCCAGAGGTTATTTTTTTTAAAAGATGAAAAGCATAAAATCAAAATTAAATTAGGACATGAGAAAACTAGAGGCCAATCTTAATAAATTAATCTTAAAGTGCTAAATAAAAAAATTAACATCTCGTTTCACTGAAAACTACAATAAAATAGCTATGCAGGGTTTATACTAGGAATACAAATTTTGTTCAAGTGTAAAGAACTCCATTTACAACACTACATTAAGAGATTTAAAGGAGACAACAGATACAAGTAATTTTTTTAAAAAAGCATTTATTAACATTCAACTGCCTTTTCTAAACAAAACTAATATTTGACCAGAAGTGGAAAAAAACTTCCTTGGCATGATTTAAAAAACAACTAATGTAAGCCTAAAGCAAACATCATACTTTAATTATAAAAATTCGGGAGCATTAACTGAAATTGAGAAGTCTAAATGATTATTATTTTTATTACTATTTAGTGAATGATATGCTTTATTCATTACTTTAAGACAACAAAAGGACAAAATCTGTGTTAAGAGATGAAATCTGCATCACACATCACTAGGGAAAAGAGAGCATGTTTAACAGATGTTGCAGAGAAAACTTTATGCAGAAAAAAAATGGATCTCTAATTTACATCATATTCAAAATAAAGGATTCAACTGTACACTTTAAAATGGTTAAGCAGGTTAAGCTTCTTCAACTTCATAAAGACTATCTACAAAAAACCCAGAGGTAACATCACACTTAATACTGAGAATCTCAAAGCTTTTCCACGAAGATCATGTACAAGTCAAGGATGTGCCCTCTCATCACTCCATTTCAATATCATACTGGAAGTTCTAACTAATGTAATAAGGCAAAAAAAGAAAATGAAAGGTATACATATTGGGAAAGAAGAAATAAAACTCTTTTTTCACAAATGACATTATCATTAATGTAGAAAATCTAAAATACAGACAAAAAATGCCAGGAACTAATATGCAATTATAGCAAAGGATAAGGATACCAGGTTAATATACAAAACCAACTGCTTTACTATATAACAGTAATGAACAAGTTGAATTTGAAAATAAAATACATTACCATTTACATTAGCACTTAAAAAAAGTGAATAGGTATAAATCTAACAAAATATACAGATCTCTGTGAGGATAACTACAAAACCCTCATGAACAAAAACCAAAGAACCAAATAAATGGAAAGATATTTCACATTCATAGATACAAAAACTATTGTCAAGATGTCAGTTCTTCACAACTTGATCTATAGATTCAATGCTAACCCAATCAAAATCCCAGCAAGTTATTTCATGGATATTGACAAACCAATTCTAAATTTTTATATGGAGACTTTACATTCTATACCTAGAATAGCCAACATAGTATTGAAGGAGAAGAACAAAGTTGGATGAATGACACTATCCAACTTCAATAGTATACTATATACTATATTATAAACCTATAGTGATCAAGACAGTGAGGTATTGGGGCGCCTGGGTGGCTCAGTTGGTTAAGGGTCCAACTTCAGCTCAGGTCATGATCTCACAGTTCATGGGTTCAAGCCCCATGTCAGGCTCTGAGCTGACAGCTTGGAGCCTGGAGCCTGCTTCAGATTCTGTGTCTCCCTCTCTCTGTGTGTCCCTCCCCTCCTTGTGCTCTTTCTCTCTTAAAAATAAGTAAATAAAATATTCAAAAAAAGATTTAAAAAAAAGTGTAGTATTGGCAAAAGAATCAATCAATGGAACAGAACAGAGAACCAAGAAACATCCACATAAATAGGGTCAAAAGGCAATACAATGGAGCAAAGACAGTCTTCAAAGAATGGTGCTAGAACCAAACACCCACAGGGAGGGAAAAAAAAAGAACACAGATCCAACCTTACACCCTTCACAAAAATTAACTCAAAATGGATCACAGATCTAAATGTACATGCAAAACTATACAACATCTGGAAGAAAACATAGGAGAAAACATAGATGACCTTGGGTATGGAGATGACTTATTAGACACAACACCAAATGCATGATCCATTAAAGAAATAATTGATAAGCTGAACTTCACTGAAGTTAAAAACTTCTGCTCTGCAAAACGCA